TGACTACACTGGACTTAACACTGTCCTTAGAAGGCCTTCAGCAACAATGTGCAATAACCAAGGTGAACTAAAACAGATTAGTGATTCGAGAATCTTCTCAATGTCAAGTATATACTCAATGGTGGTTGTTGTAAGTCCATTAAATAACGTATTTAACGCATAGGTTTACTTCCCGTGATCACGGCGATACTTTGCGGAATATATCAGAATCGCAGAATAATCAAACCCCACACGAAGTGGAATTCGCTGAACCCGCACGGCAAACAATCTGCAGTACACATCTGTATATTCATCCACATGTTGATCATGCCTACAAATCCAAATCACTAGCTATACAGCGCCAACTAATCGGGAAAGCTGTGAAATAATGAGAGTCTGCTGACAGTTGCATTTCGAATCTCAGTGACTAATTTGATGGTGATATTCTGCTCCTCCAAGCTTCACTCATCAATTTGAAAGGTTCAGTTCGCAGTCATTCTGGTTCCTGACCGAAATGAATTAAAAGATCCACCGATTGCTGATTCCTTAATGCTTATTTGCACGTTAAGCTGCACACTCACTTCTGTGGTGAGCCTGTTGCAGAATACATTGCTGAAAACATTATTGTCGATGAACTAACTGGCGTTTTACAGGCCATTTGTATTCTTTTGTAAACAGACCACTGTACCGACCACATGTGAGGCAGCCTTCGGTTGTTACGCGCGTTTTCGACAAACTCGAACAATAATGTTGCCTGGGATTATATCATGTAAATTGTTTTACCTATGTGAAGTGTGCTTACTGACATTATTCCATTTCCTTTCCCTGTATATATATATATATATATCTTGTGTGAGTGAATATTGTAAATATGCTTACTCCGTGTATATATTACTTGTCATTTTGATGATGCCTGTAAACTGGCGTCCCTCATGTACATAAAGCTGGAATATATTATTGTTATACACTGCGTATGCATTCTATTATTCCGAGGAGCTTATGACAGCTCTTGTGTGTGTGTGTTGTATATGTACTCGGGATGGTGGATTATCGATCATGGATGCATGATAATGTTGTGTACAACTTCGCAGTTCCCGAGGACTTTCACCTAAATGTAGGCATTTCATTGGTTGACCATAACTGTCAGTCGAAAGCGAGACGGAGTTTGTTTTGGCACTCAAGCTTGATGGCGACCTAAGTGAACAGTTTAGCATATGTGGAAACCAGTTCCGGTTGTTTCTACTACTTAGACTTCTGAAAAAGTACTTATGATACTCCACCATTGCAATTTATGACCTGTCTTATTGTACCCGTGAAAGTGGCACGCATTGCATGTTAACTTACCCTTTTATACAAAATATAAAGTATTAAATTAGAATTGGCCCGTTAATCTAGTTTGCCTGGGTCTACTATCTGGCGGGAAATGTTCCCTATTGAACGATCTACTCTGTCTGCCTTGTGCTAGCTGTTTGCGTTAGTGACCAAACGTTGGCCAATAGTTCTGGGGTTATTAGGTCTTTTCTCACACTGATATGGTTCACTCACCCTATTGTAAATCGTCTCCTCCCAACATTCGGTCCCCAGTGCGTGCTAGCTGTTTGAAAGAAAAGTCGGGATCTTGCGCGTACAGTATCTGCTGCACATCCTCCTGTAGGGCTTGCATTCAAACTTGCTTCAGTACAGCCTATCATGCTGCTCCCTACAAGCTGTTGAACGTGGATCAAGAACTGTGATCGGGATGTATCTCTATGTTCTCTCCGTCAGGAAAGTTTTGTACACGATTGTTTTCTGACATGGAGAGACGTTTTATCACCTTGCGTTTAAACACTGGGCATTGTGGGGAATTATGTATGAGGTTCCGCACCTGCTCGCTGACCTCACAACGTAACTGAGAACACCCTGTCGTTTCAGACCTAATGCTGTACCGGTGAAAGTAGTGCTCTAGTTTAGCAAACCATAGTTCTGTGTCAGGTTGATCAAATTCTGGAAATCTAAGTTTGGTAGCTCCTGGGGAGTACACAACCACAGAAGTAGAGTTTCCAAAAGAGTTTATGCTGAGCTTGTGAGACCTGAATAATGTGAACGAAATAGGTTCATCTATATGTAAACTGAGTGCTATCGAAATAATTGTTCAAATTACCGACCGATGTAGAAGACTAGTAGTACTTATAAACCTTTATTTTCGAAAGTATTGCACAGGGCAAGTGAAGCGGGGAACACCTAGTCGACCACATGGAAGGTCAATTTTAGGAGATGAAATAAGTTCGTTAATTAACTGCACCTCGGCGGTTCCAACATCAACGATCAATTTGTTTATCCGTGCGAATTGAAACAGTATGATTTTCAAGGGATAGGAGGTCGCCAGCTTCGTTGTGGTGTGATAATCTACCTGTACATTGTGGTTGGAGACGACATCAGGAAAGTCCGCTGTAGCCAGAAGGCCAGTCTCCGGAACTCAAAATAGTATTTTTCGTACGTAATAACCAACTCGATTTCAAAGCAAGCAGTATTCAGAGACGGACGATAAGTCGATAATTTGCTGGTCAACCAAATACAAGCCAATATAGCAAGTCAATTACGCAGCAGCTTGGTCATGTGATCAACAACTGGGTACTACTAATACTCTAACAAAGTTGCTGATCGTATTGCTCCGGTCTTTTGTGAAGGAGCAGACGTTTAAGTCCCAACAGAGTCTGTTGCCTCCAACGGACAGGAAACTGGTTCGAATAAACATGGTCAAAAAATACATCTCTTGGCAGCTGTAGGTGTTATATTCTGCCTTCGCTAGTTGGGATGGTTTTAAGGGCAGCCTGGCTACCAGGTTAGGTGGGTCAGTCTAAACAGTCAGCAGGTAGTGTGGTTAGTGCTCAGGCCTAGCAGGGTTCGTAGCCACGGGTCAGCAATCACGAGCGTTATTTCTAGTTGAAGCCAACTAGAAGCGATCTCGAGTCTGTGTAAGTAGTCCAGCGGGTTGGTTTCCCAGACATTCGTCAATCACTAGATAAGGAGAGCCTTAAAAATAATAGAGAAGATATATTTTCTATTTGGTCGCTCGTCCTATGCTTCCAAGTTCCTCAGTTATTTACTGCATCCGAGTGGCTGTAGCGAACCGTTTTATATAGGCCCTTCATTAGCCTCTCCCTATAATCTACTTTCTGAAGAATGTTGTTGCAGAGGTGCATCTCTGGTTTCACATCGAGTTCACTTAGTGGGTATGACGTCAGCTGACAAGTCGTTGGATGTAATCTCCACATCATCAAGATGCTGAATACATGTAGTACATCTGCACGGAACAGGTTAAGGCCATTAATGTAGTACTATTAGCGGAAATGTAACAATGCCATTCGTCAACTTAGTTTACTACTGAATTTGCTATACCAGAGTGGTTAGTATCAGTCGTTTCGAAGTTTTGTGCATCTTCTACTGCTACACAGTAGTCAATATCTGCAAACTAGTTTTTGTCAATAGCAGGTTCATCTAAAATCAGTTAGCAGGTGTTTATCGTTCGTGTCTCTTCAGCCTAAGCCCAAAACTCCCTTATGTGTTTTTGCCTTGAAGGTCCATCGAGGTTACTGGTTTTGCACTCAGTCGACAGGTATCTCCAGGCATTGGAATTGATGCTTTATACCAAGAAAGTCTTGACGCTGTTTCGTTGATTTCTCATTCTCTGCGCTGGTGCCATGGTTATTTTTATCCCTAGAGGTTGACCACTTGGTATATTCCGCAGGAGTGTCTGTGGGTTTCATCTTGAATAGTGTCTGAGGCACTCACACTAGCTTAGGAGTTTGACTTACCACCCGGAAACGAGAACTTAGTGGAGACAATGTTAAAATTGGTTAAGTGGAGAGAGAAACTACTTGAGGAACTACTGAGAGCGGCCTACCCAATACCTCGTCGGTGCAGTAGGATTTTACTTGGTTCTGACTGACGAACAGGTGTTTACTCAGCTGCCCATGCAACACAGAAAAAAGGAGGCTCTAGATAAAGAAGCAACCAACTTCACTGCACACTGAAGAGTGCTTCACTGCCCTAAATAAGGAGAGATATAAGGAATTGGTGAGTATAGTAATAAAATGTCTGGGTATATTCGCTGGTAACTTTCTCACGAATCCCGACTTGCGAAGATATTCCGTGGTTTTATGCAATCCATGGGACTGGTTTTATTCATGTCATCATTTTTATTATGTCGCTTCTCTTAGTTTGTCATCTTCGAAGCATACTGTAAAAAAGAAACTTGATTATGGGGAGAAAAACGGTGGGTCTGATCCGTGCTTTCCGGGTTTTGGTTGGTTCTTCAGAAGGAATAACTCACCGAAACTTGCAGTGTTAATCCTAGATTTTTGCTGCGTCTTGGACTAGGCGCTGAGTTTGTGGAGTACCTCAGTTGGACGAAAATTCAGCTAGACCTGAGACGAGTATGTATTCAATTGGACTAGCTAAATAAACTACTGGTTAGCCTGCAAAAGTTATAGGAAACAGCCTTCGATGAGATGTCTGAGCTTCTTATATGTTGGTTAACACGGACAGTCAGTCTCACAGTCAGATAAGATGAATGATCGCTCTCCCCAAAATTTATGTTCATATTCCTTCTATTCATATATATTGGTCTCCTTGGCATACTTCCATGTGACCCATTCTTTTTTTCCTTCAACACCGCTGCTGTTTGAGCGGTCAGTGAAGAATTTTGAGTTTATGAAAGCTGGTTAAGCGTCACTCAAAGACACCATCTACTGAATAGGGGGTTAACGGATACTAAGTCAATGCATAAACATAAGTATGCATTCTCACTGGTTACCCAGTTGTTCGAACTTACACGTAGGCATGTTGGAGTTAGAACGGAGCACCTAGTGCCTGGAAAGTTCAGTATTAAGCCAATAATAAGCCATACGTCCCCTCACAAGGGGTAGGAAGAATCATAGAAGTAGTAAAATACGTTTTATTCAATAATATTTAATTGTCAACGAAAAGAGAAATTAAAGTGAGAAATTGCAGTAGTAAGATGTCCTCTTCGCTAATAAATAGAAAATCTTTGAAAATAAATGAGGAATAAAAAGAGGTTGCTGGAAATTCTCTAATATACGTGAATTCACAAAGATGTGTGCATGTACACACACACACACGTGAAAGCGGTAAGATGATAAGAATGACAAATCGACTGACATGCAAAATATCCCTTCGAATGTCATTAATGCACATTATATTAAAGCTCGACTGGAATTGAGTACTATTGAGAAGAGTGACTAGGTTACACAGGAGTTCTCGTCGTGCACTACACGTTAACGAAATAAAGTTAAAGGAGTTCTCTCCACCCTGATAGTATTATATATCTTCTTCACATAATAAAATAGGATTTAAATCACACTGGAGTTGATTAAAACTGAAGTATTCACTAATTGTAATTAGAACAGTAGAAATAGATTGAAAAAGCAAGAATTTCTTTTTTTGATTTTACTCAAAATACCATTGGAAAGAAAGCGCGGATTGAAACATGCCTACTATAACTTACACGTAGTATAATTATGAAATATAAAAAAATAAAAGCATCAAATTCAAAATATCTATACATCAACAAAGGGGGAGAGATTTGAAGGAATTGAACTGAACAGTTTCACATGAAGTTGTCAATGTGGAATAAAATAAGTCTAGCAGTCTAGGAGTTTTAATAGATCAGTTATTCGGTTGTAGTCATCTGTTGTTCAATAAGAGTCTTCCAAACTAGTTTAATTTCAAATGTTGTACAATCGAATTGAAATGTTGTGCCATTTTTAAGTTTTAGCATAAATGATAAAGCTGAAATGAAGTGAAAATTGGAAAGAAAAATCGTTATAAGCTGGTTAATCCACTTTGTTTTTTGAAGGGAATGTTGCGTACTTATGGAAAAATAGTGAAACTTAATGAAGAGTTTTGAAAACGTTTGTCAATGTGTGTGTATGCCAGCGTGAACCAATTCCACTTACTTCATCAAGATTCATCAACCAATGTTTCTTAGTGGCCTGAGAACTCTTGCTAGGCCTATTGAACTGTCCGCCACCGGCTTCAGCGGGAAGTCATACAACCTCTGCGTCAATCACATATATTCATTCTTCGCATCATAATCCTCCTAATTTAGCTAACATTTTTGGAGGACGGCTGTGGATAAAACGTTTCATAACTATCCCAACTGACGCATATCCGCATAGCCTGACTTCCACCTTTTACATCTAACCTCAAGATGTTCATATGAACATAGACACCTGCTGTAGTTAGAGTTAGTAATGTCTTCGTAGTCTGTTTTGATTGACAATCACATTTCCTGTTCACAAAGTAGGATAGAGCGAACTGCTGCTCAGTATAAATAAATGCCTCTCGGTGGATAGGTGAATTCCACTCAAGCACCACATTTTAGTATTCTGGTTGGCAAATTAGAATAAGACAGCGTGTTACCCTACAGGAGTGCCTCTTTGTCTAAATCAACATAGTTGTGTCTCGATAAAGTAAAGCCCAGTCTTTCTTGGAAATTTACAACTGACACCAACCAAGATATTTAGGTCAGACAGTATGATTTTGATCATTTTTTACAAAGTGAATAGTCATAGATTATAGGTTTCCAGGCCGTAGGTGTTACGAACTTCCTGGAATGATTTGAGCGCCGAGTCAGATTGATTCATTGTAAATTATTTAAATTAAACAAAAAGTTAAACTATCTATCTCATGGTCTCTGGCAGTGGAACTCATGATACACGTTCAGTCGTGTGTGAAACACGACAGTAACGATGTACCCACCAACACTGAAACTCAACAACTATCCTTAGAAAAATGTGAAAGCGTTATCCACTGGACTTTAGAAGGGTGACATTGGAGGACAGATTTCATGAAAACAAACGAATTTAACATACATTTAAGCTGGCGTCTTTTGTTTGTTTAAATGAACTTATTTAGCCATACATATACAGGCAGAAAATAACTGGATTTGACAGAGAAGTTATATTGAGCAAGGGAAATTTGAACCGTTAATCAATCGCACGCCTAAAAATCCAATTATTCTTGCTAACTACAGTACTAATTACGAAAACTTAAACCACATTATTAAAAGTGGATCGTTGTTCAGAAAACAAGACAAAATGAGATATTACTAACCTGATATTTCATAATCTTGAAAAGCAATCGAATCGAGGAGTATGGGTTCATAAGCTAAACAGGATGGTCGACAAGTTTCAAGTACATCTTTTTCAGAGACAACCAACAAAAGGGCGTCATTTAGTAAATATGCAAAAACCTGTTGGAATAAACAAAACAAAAAAACAACAGATTATACACTAATGAGAACGGCGGAGTACGTATAAGGAGTGTTAACGACTATGTGGCACTGACGGTTACTTCTGGGAGCTTCAGTAATAATCTTCACTGGACACTTACTGAAATCATGTAATGTTGTATGGGTGCTGGCAGCTAACACTGGAATTAGGGACGTCAGTTCCATCCTATCGGCGAATATTTATCTGTATCCAAGTGAGTGACAGTGTTCCTACTGACATATGGGGATCCAATACTCATTGTTCCAAACATTAAAACGTTATCCACTTGGTTTGGTTATTAAGCCACGAATAGCATTATTCATTGGGATAGAAGTATGTCTTGGTGGACTTTTTCAAATAGAACGAATCTTGTGTGTCTTGGGTTCTGTCTGATGTCAGCCACCATCAACAAAGTAACATCACATTAACTTGGATATACCATGAAAGTATTCGTAATAAAAACCAGTAGATCAACAGAGATGATTCAATGGGGAATTCGAATTTGATATTGTCCTCTAAGCTGGTTGATGATTTCACTGTGAAGCTTTCGTTATCCTTTTAAATAACATCGTCAGCGCTAACTTCAACATGAAGTGAGCTTATATGTATTCTCCATGAATGATGATACCATTGTATCTTCTGACAAGCTATTTAGTGATTGGCTGTGAATTCACGTCTTTATTGATCATTTTTCATTGACTTGGAATTTGACTTTTTCTGTTAGCTGGCCTATTTCGTACTAGTTGATAAATCCGATCCATAGTAATGTGTCTGTTGACTGCTGATTCTTCTCATCAAGACCAGGCAGACTTCGAGGAATTCCCTGGCATATTCGCTGTCTTCATCGTCAAGAATTTCTACTTTTTTTCCGAATCAAACTGATCTCCATAGTTGACTACGTGAATGAATGAATACAGAAGAAGAATACATATCGTGCCTTTTGATAGCTAATTTATGTTCTTCGACTCTGAATGGAAGGGGATGGGATGCCCACTTTGACTAATTTAGTGTTTATCGCAGTTCATTCAATTTGTTAATATTGTTAAAAGACACGACATATATTCTTTCACATCGATGCATGTAGATTAATTAATATGGATTCTAGTTTAACTGGCAAAGTGTAGAAATTTTAAACAGAGAAAACACCGATAATACCAGGGAATTAATTCCTAGAATTAGGGAACTAAGATGCATCAGCGATTAACAGACAACACATTACTATAGCTGACATCAGTTAGAGAACCATTGGAAAACCAGCTGGGAGTAATGGACAACTGTTTTGTCCTAGCTTGGGATCCTTCATCAGAAAGCACCCACCGAGTTTCAAACCCAGCAGGTGAGCTCGTAGACCATGATGAAATCCTCCAAACAAAATCCCTACAAAAACCAATAAATACTTGAACATAACTATAGATGAAATTTTCCAACTAATCAAGAATAAATCACATAACGAAAATATTCAAATTCCAAGTCAATAAAAATGATCAATAAAGATGTAAGTTAACAATCAATCACGACAATTATATCATTCATGGAGAAATCGAATAATTTGCCTTCATATTGAAGTCTGCATTGAAGGTGTTATATCTGGAGGGACAACGAAAGCTTCGAAGTTAAATCAACCAGCTCAGAGAACATAATCAAAATGGAATCATTCACCTGAGTTATAAATCTTATAATAATAATTATTATTATTATTTCAGAGGGGAATTGAAAGTAATCTCGACAGAGATAAGATTAGATATGATATTTTGACGAAACGAATTTATCAAAATAACTTGAACTTACAGGACCACGATAGGATACATCCTCTTTAATTAAATCAGGATATTGTTTTGAGCACAAAGTGCATAAAAGATAACTTTTATAAATTATATGATGATTAACTGAAGACCATTCAGATGGACTGAATGTTTCTGAATCGTTTGGATATGGAAATAGTGGCGGTAGCAGATACTTCATCAGTTTGGCTAATTGTGTATTCTCAGTGACGCTTTTCTTCGGATAGACGACAGGTGAGTCTGCGTTGTCTACCGCCTCACCAGTAGATGGTAATGTCTTGTTTGTATCAAAAATATGAGAGGTATTCTTTTTCGATTGATGGTCATTCTCAGGACACTGAGTGTTGGAAAGATAACTCATATCCTTTAAAATTAAATTATTGACACTGTCTATGTCATTAGGAGGGATCGGGGACGACTGATTGTTCAGTGCTTCATTTAGAGCTGGAAAACAAAACAGAAATGATATTTAGGCATAGACATCATATCAGTCATGTTTCAAGAAGTCGATCGTTTCACTGTACACAAGACAAGTGTGTCCTATATGTTAAACAAAACACGGATAGTATTTTGGTTGTTATTTTATACTACTTATACAAAGTAAAGTATAAGTAAATTATTTTCAAAAACGAAATTTGCGTGGGATGAAGATAGTGATTCTCTAATTGGTGGATGACGACTAGCAGTGGAATCCAGGATAACGCGCATTTCGTCCTATCTGGGACTCACTCGTCAGCCAGTAGATGTACCTGCATTCCCCAGTGAGTGAGTGATGATGTTCTCACCGAGGCTTGAACCCAGTGCCCACAGTTTCCAACCCCAAAGCGTTATCTAATTACATGCCTAGGCATTGTCGAAGCATCTGCACAGAAAGTCGACATGTCAATCTGAGACCGAGCACTTCGGTCCAATCAGTCGACGTTGAAAAATCTAAAATTCAATTAAATAGTGATTATCTGTTCATTAATGATCAACTTGTAGTGGAATACCTGAAATAATAATAAGAATTCATGATTGGGTTTGTAGGCATTCACTCATAGATGACAGTGGACGATGGTATTAATTATTGTCAGGATTGATGAAAGATAGAATTCATAAAAGACAGTCTTGCAAATCGCATGTTCGCTTCGTAATCTCACTCTTGTGAATCTGATTCTTGATGGGGTTTATCAGAGTGCAGATTTGAAAAGTTACACATGAGAACGAAACGAGCTTCCATTTCTTCCTGTTCCTCTAAGTGGTGCCGACCCACAGCAAAACTAGTTCAGATACTAGCGAGTAGAAGCTCCTAGTGGTTAGCGACAATCTTATTAGTACTCAACATTATCTTCACTAGAAAACCTAGCAATTCACCTGCCTGCCATTAAGACTGCCTATCAAAATCGGATAAGTACTTAGATGGTAGCTGGTTCCCGTCCATCCGACAACGTGCTGTCTGGTGCAGTCAAAGGTCGACAGATACAAATTTACGTGTATCTGTGGGAGAAGTTACATTAGGGGAACAGAAAGGGCACACCTCCAATTTACTGAATATGTACCGAAAAGCCTACGTCTCAAGGGAACAAACGCCTACAAAAGTGACATTACCAGGCATCTCCTTGATACGGATCATGAGATGGAAATCGCAAAATCCTTTAAAATTATCAGTATACAGAAAAGCTCAATTCTCCTCTAGTTCGTCGAAGCAATCTCTATCAAACGCCTGAAACCCGATTTATGCGTTCAGAAAGAAGCAGTTATCAGTCTTTTCTTGCAACCCTGGTAACTTGATGCCTTTATTCTCTTTTATTTGCTTACCTAATCCTTGGCTTTAAATTCATCCCCTTTGATGTAGTGTAATTTTGATTGTCTCTTGTTTCTGTGATTTTAGTTCGACTCAGTATATTGTTGGCCAATTTATTAGCTACTCATTCATTATCTTACGCACCTCTCGTCTTTATTACGTAACTCCTTTCCCATTGTATGAACACACTGACTTCGCCTAAACTTGAACTGCCTGTGTATAAACTTCATAAGCGCAATTTTCTGAGCACTGTTCACTAATTTTAGAACCTCCTGTCAACTGACATCATGTGAAATTTGCAAGTGTGTTAAAACTTTTCTGAAACATAAACTTAACAGTTTATTTAGGCTGTAAGCGGCAGCTGAAGAGAAGCCAACGAAATATATGGTACTATATATGATAGTACCATATTATTCTGCAAAATCTGTTGTTCTTGCTTTATTCAAAGTTAGTTGGTAGATAGTGAAATATCGATCGAATTTTAAGAATTGATGTACTATATAGACACTTACTCAAGCTGAGTATAAAACATTTCATCACACCTATAAATAAGTAATTTGAGGATGCCAACCAAACTTCACTTCTGATATTTACTCAGGGTTTATTAAATATCAGTGTTAGGTGAAAAGTGCAATCGCCAGACACACCTAATTGACACGGGACTTGCAATGGAAATTAGTCAGGCTTTCAGAATAATCAATACCGAAAGGCAAGCATGCCTACTTCGGCTCACAGAAGCCAATGCCATCAAAAGACTTCCACCCAACCTATGCATACAGAAAGAGAGTGTGACTAATCTCTCACTACACTACCCTGATAACCGTAATTGTTTTGTTCGTGTGCTTTTGTGTTGTGTTTTGTTCTGTTGCATAACATTCCACTCAATCTTGATTTTGACTTCCACTCACTGAGTTGAACTCACTATTAAGGTTCCAAATCTACTAAATTCAATTATTTTATGTTTTATAATTTACTTCACTATTCACCTCCACCTTCCTGAAATTCTCCACCATAACATGTATAAATTGAGTCTGTTGTTCCTTCTATCTTGTACTTTGTCTCTAGTCCATCCTTGTTTCTAAGCGAAATCAGAACTCTACCCACTTGCATGATTATTATACAAATAGTTACTCTTTTAACACTAAATAATTGTCTACTTACATCATCTTTGAAATTGTGTTGCTTATACTTTCTACCTATAACTTGAAGTCATTGTAAAAAGTAGTATGTTCAGAAAATTTGTAATTGATTTATTTAGGATGTAGGCAGTTGAAGAGAACCCAATAAATAGAAGGAGCTCGTATTATCCTGTAAATATGTTCGTCCTTTCTTTATTAGTGTGTTTTGTTCAGGTAGAATCGGATGTAGAATCGCTGTTAGAAGGGAACTGGTTAGAAGCTCGAGTACCGAAGTTTCATGGTGATGAAAAATCATTGGCAAGGTAGGTGGTCAGATTATTTTAATTAGTCAGTCATTTGGAAGGTTAATTACGACGTATATAATCAAGTGGTAAATTCACAGACCTAGGCAGTGAATGATGCAAATTTAAATATTCCCTTAAAGAAAGCATCTATGGTTTGGGATATGGGAGCACTCTTGATTTATGCAATTTCGGTAGACCGTACATGCGTGAGATGGTGCTCCCTGTGGGTTTTATGTTTTCGTAAGTTTTTGGTAATATATACCCTTTACTTCTCAAATCCTTTAATAAGTTTGTTATTTCTCTCTATACTTTTCCCGTCTGATCTTTAATTACTGCTGTCGTCATCTAGTATGGAGTTCATCTTGTTTATATAATCCTCCCTGTCCATAATTACTATCCCCTGCAGCAAGTTTCAGAAGCCGAAAATGATGAAAGATCAGACGGGGAAAGTAGACAGAGAAATAACAAACTTATTAAAGGATTTGAAAGGTAAAATGTATATATTATATATCACCAAAAACTTACGAAATCATAAAACCCACAGGGAGCACCATGTCACGCATGTACGGTCTACCGTAAGTACATCTATGGTTATCAAAATTGTCCATTGATCTGATCTGTTTGTAGTTGAATATCAGTTCACTAGCGCAAACCTTTTCATTATGAGACGACTATGAGCCAGGCACAGTGAGTGTGAAGATTATCCTGATTGAGTTAACTAGGACAGGATTGAAACCTCGGACCTATAGGCTTAAGCCCTACCTAATACTTAAGCCAATGAACCACATCTCCACTACTAATCTGTTCACTTAACATGGATGGATGTGATTGCATAGTATTCAGGACAGTAACAACAAAAAATACTTAAGAAAATTGAATTTTGAAACTAGTGAAATATTTTACTTGTCATTGTCTTGTCATTCATTACGTAGTCGGCTATTTGTGTTCATAAATTTTGCATTCATCTATTTATCTGATTACTACTCACACCGACAAATCAATTAACTGAACACCAAAACTAACTAACGAAAAAGAAGACAAACTTTTAAAAAGTAAGTTTACTTCCTAATATACTAATAACGTGTGATTACTACTCATCTGCGTTCTGATTACATAACTACGCCAAGGGTTTACCAAAAAATAATAAAAATCAATTAAACGATACCATATACTTATAATTATTATTTGATTTTGTTGTCTATCTCAAGCAAATAAGTCAATCACTGTGATTATATGTAGCTCATACACACACGATTACATAATCAATAAATTTTTATATGCACAAAGTCTAACCATGATTCTTATCAATTGATACATTGAGACAGAGAGAGAGAGAACTGTTAGATATTCGATACACTGTAAATATGAAGTGTCATGACCTTTATTCATCTTTTGAAACTATCATCACAAAATGTAACGAACACTTTTGTTTTTAAAAAAGAAAATCATGTTAGCTGGTTGAAAATGACTTCTGAAATAATAATTATTATATTATAGGTTTCCAGGCCGTAGGTGTTACGAACTTCCTGGAATAATTTGAGCGCCGAGTCAGATTGATTCATTATAAATTATTTAAATTAATCCCAGTGTGTTAAGAAAATCAAAACAAGATTTTTCTGAACGTTTCGCTGTGTAAGCCACAGCTTCTTCAGCAGATTTATTCGGATTTTTATTGATCATCAAAATATTTAGTCAAAAATTTAACATACATTAAAGTCAGTTTATTTGAAGGTCATTTGTCGATGGACATTTTTACTAATAGAAAATATGTAAGCAGTCATCACATATATTTGTAATGACTAATGTCAAGTTGTTGTTGTGTTCACTTTTGTATAGTTAATTTGTATAGATTAGTTTTGTATGAGTGTGTGTGTGTATGTATGTTATTTGTCATATGGAAAATGTGTGAATTCATCTATGATAAACATGATCCTATATGTTTTAAAGGTCATGGAGGCTCATAGAGTGTTTATTGTCTTTTCATCTGTCTTGCTTCATAAGAGTTTGCCATGTAGGTGATAAGTCCATCCCTTCTTTCCTATTCACTGCATTCGATGTGGTTAAGATGTGCAAGGCTTCAGAAGTCAATCTTCCTTTATGTGAATGAAATCCTCTTCCAAGAATTTCGACATTGTCGAAATCAATCTTATGTCCGCTGTCTATAGCATGCATTGCTATAGCCGATCTTTTTTCTAGACTTTTTAGTTCTACTTCATTTCTAGGTGGACGTTTCATGCATAGTCTATGTTCATTCACTCTGACCTTCACCTGCCTACTGCTCTCCCCTATATAGCATGCATCACATTCGGAACACTTTATCTTGTAGACACAATTACTTTGTGACATTCTGGGAAGGCACATGCTGAAAATTCCACACTTGTACTGAAAATACGGTGTGGAATCAAGCTGTAAATCAAAATAAATTTTAAAAAATATATCTTTGACATGTACCAACGCCTTCTCTAGAGAATTAGAAGGTTTGACATAGACTTTAATATTATATGAGGCAAACAGTCTTTGAAGTTGTTCAGCTGTGTCCTTTCGGTATGGGATGGCTATCGTGGATAGCCAGGATTTTTCAATTTTTGGTTTTCCCTTATGCTCCTTTCTATTGATAATATTATCAAGTAGCTTTTCAGGATAACCATTTCCAATTAAAACCTGTTTTATGTTGGATATCTCGTTCTCCATATCTCCATAATGTTTCTAGCTCTGTTAACGAGATTTAAAGCTACTGAAACTTTCATTCCTATTGGATGATCTGATTGAAAATTCAAATACTTGTTGGAATGTGTCGGCTTTCTGTATATGGTAAACTTTAGTTTCTCGTCAGTTTGTCTTTTTACAAGACAATCGAAACGTTTAGAGTTCCCTCAGCTGATTCTATTTCATTAGTAAACTCAATATATTCTGAGATCAAGTTGATTTCTGTTAGACAGTTTCCTTTTTCAGCTTTCTTTATGATGACAAATGTGTCATCTACATATCTGTACCATATTCTAGGATGACAACTAAAACTTGTCAATACTTTTTTTCTAGGGCTTTCACATAAAGGTTAGCTACAATTGGAGATGCTGGTGAGCCCATTGCAACTCCATTTGTTTGACAGTATAGTTTGTCTTTAAAGGTAAAATATATAGATTCCAAACAAAGTTCTAAACATTTTATAACTTCATCTATTGACAATAAAGATTTAGTTAATACTTCTTGATTGCTTTCAAGTTCATATTTCATAATACCAAGTGAATCACAAATAGGAATACTAGTAAATAATAATAATATGTCATCATCGCATGTTAATAATGGTTGAGTTGGTAATAAAAACTGTTAGTGAGACTGTCACAAAGATGGCACATACTGATTGATGGAAGGCATAATTGACTGAGACTGAGATGGGATGTCTGGTGTCATAGTAGGATTTAAACAAGTACAGGCAAACTATTCCAGCTGTTAAACAGGTCTGCATTTCCCTAAAAATCTATGTGAATGACTGACTGTTGAATTCACTGTTAAATGCAAATTTTGTGTAATATATATTATTGGTATATTTTTTTTTTCATTCCTTTGCATTCTGAGTGGAAAGTGGGCTTCAAGCTTAAGCTTCCAAGCATCCTCAGAGATGGTGTTGTGTTCTTCCGAGGTAGCGTTGCGTTGCTAACCACCTCACGCTTAACTTTCCCTCTTTGACCGGCTTACTACTGGCTAAACGAGGTTTAAGAGGGCGTCGGCTGGGAACAAGAACCGGACCATGTTCTTGCCTGGCAGGCATTCTACTCCTGAACCACTGACTCAGTTATGTGGTAATTATACAAATGAAATCCAGGATAAAAATATTTGGAATATGAAATGTATCATATAGATAGCCAGCTCTAGCCAATTTAATCAATCAGAAATAGAGTGGGTAATAGGAAAGACGAAACAATGGTGTATTCTATGGTGAAACTATCTAGAGTTATCTTGGATGGATTAGTGATCCCAAGGGCGCTTAGTTCGAATCCTGGCCGAGACGCAGATTTTCCATTCACCTTCAGCTGTCACTCATAACAGTAATGTATTCGTCATTGTGGCAAGGTGCATCGATGGCACAGCGGTAGAATGCTCGCCAACCGCTCATGTGGTCCAGGGTTCGATCCCCCACCGGCTCACTTCTTTACCTCGCTAAGCAAGTAATAATATACACAGGTGACTCATCAATATTCATTATTTATTTCCCACACTTGCATAATCACTGATTTCCCGCATCTGCGTGATTATTGATTTTAATTACTGAATTCCCATGGTTTGTTAATATTTTTAAAATGTGACATTGATTTTCCTAACTGTATAAATACGGAGTTTTTGTTTAACATTTCGACTGTTGTTAGAGACAGTAAAAGCTCTCGTATCAACGTCCAGTCTTCTTTCTTTGTCTTGCGTGCCCGGCGGTATTGTCGTTGTTGTTGTTGACGTGCGATTAGGACAGATTAGCCAGCGCATTAAGTTAGATTCGCTCATAGTCTACAAGGTCCTAATATCTCATACATAACAATAAGACTAGTTAGTAAAGAGGAAAGGTTGGGCATTAGGCTAGCAACCCCATCGCGTAAAAACAAACAACAATGCTACCGAAACTTCAAGCCTCTAGCTTGAAGCCCTCTCTTCCATTCGGAACGTAAAGGAATAAACTGACATTGTGACAAGAAAAGACATGTGGCTTGAAGAGTAATGCAAAAATTTACCTTGAATGCATTTTTCAAGAGCTGGTCTATCTTTATGTTGAGCACTTGTATATTTTTCAATGTTTTTTAATTCCGATAACAAATATCTCGGAATCTGTAAAAGATGAAAAAGGAGATTTATAGAGTTTTCTCAATGAATATAAATTGTCAATAATCAGCCTCATTTGAAGAACAATTGAATATCAAAAAGGGGACCAAGCACTTGTTTCATCCCACTACAGAAGTCATCATCAGCAGTAGGGATTACACACTAAACCGACCTCGTTCTATACAGAAACCAGGACCATTAGGTAGACCGGTGACTACACGATTTTAAAAAAATAACTCATCTCCAACTTTTGTCAATAAGCAACACAGAGCAGCCAATGTTCAGTGTGTTGTTGTTGGTGAGTAGGTTTCTACACTCAAGACCGTGTATGAAATTCAACAGTCCCTACTTCTCATGGTAACATCCAGTCCAGACAGGAGTCTCAATACCAGTAGAACAGTGGTGGAACAGTAGAATAATATTTATTTACCGCTGAAAGGCAACATGCTTGCAGAAAGATTTAACAGTGTTTTGTTCGACGCTTGCATGCAGTTGTGGGTAAGCATTTCTAATGAATTCCACACCACAGAAAAAGAAGTCAGCCATTGCTACAAGGTGGTTTCTTTCCTTGATGAAGTCTACTTTGAAACCAGTCAAATCGGGAGTGCGAAATTAAGGAAGACATCATATGAGAAGCACGAAATAAAAATTCACCGAAGCAAAATGGATATGATCTTATTTTATCGAGTTATAGGTCACACCTAGCATATAACAGCCCGTAATGCTATTTGAAAGCAGAAAAAAGTGGTGAAGTATGTCGACAGTGTGAACCGGTAGCTCACTACTTGAAATCTGAATACAATACAATTTCATAACAAATTAAAGATACTAGAAGATATCAACATACCTCTAACGGTAAAGTAAGAAATAATGATAGAATAGGGACATCTGGTTGCATCGCTTGACTCTATAAATAAAGATAAAAGAAATTTTTTAAAATACAAATGAAAGTAAGCACTGGCGGAAATTCAAATTAGGTTTCTATGAAGAGCTGTTTAGTTTCAATGTACTGTGCATCGAAGAATCAACTCTAGGCGACATGAAATTCTAGAAACTGCGTGAAAACTAGAATGCAGTAGCCTGTATGTCTGAAACTCACAGTAGTGCCCATTCATGTGGGTGGGTAAAGTTAAACTTAGGATGACCAGTTTGTAATGTGATAATCTATGTTCCTAGCTGATATGTTATTTTTATAATTCATTTTAGTCTTATGCGTAGGGCTTTAGGCTTGAGCTATGCAGCATCAGTAGCAGTGGTGTTTATTTTTTCTAGACTAACGCCTAAACTTCCCTCCCTTTACCGTGCTTGTCACCAGCCAAGCGAGGTTAAGGAGTGAGTGAGTGAGTCGATCGGGAATTGAACCGCGGATCAATTCTATGGTTTGCAAGTATTCTACCACTGGAGATAAGCGACGCCGCTATATTCCACGATCATAGTTATGGAAATTATATTGATGAGAAACTGTGTTAGGAATTCCAGCTTTGTATGATAGAATTAAACTCCACCACACAATGGCCAAATTCACATACTACGCCATTTTGTTAGTGATCTAATTATTAATCTTAGATCCCTTTTTTTAATTCCTTTACGTTCCCCCAGTGGAACATAGGGCTTCAAGCTAGAGGCTTGAAGTTTCAGTAGCAGTGGCGGTTATTCTTACGGGATGGGGTTGCTAACCTCATGCCCAGCCTTTCCTCTTTACCGTTCTTATTTATTAATGACTTGGCGAGGTAAAGGCGTACTTCTGTGGCCGGGAATTGAACCCTGGACCACATGCGTGGTTGGCGAGCATTCTGCGCTGTGCTACCGACGCTTAATCCCAGATTACTTTGATAATTAATTAATTAATTAATTATTCTAGTCATTGTGTGAATTTATGAATTAGTTACCAATTCTTGTCATGATTTCCATCTTTGATTTGATTGGGGATACTTTATTCTGTGAAACTGCTCACCAGCTCTATTCTGTATATTTCTGTTGATAGATAATCGGCCAGTTTTAAACTGGTTATTGCTTAATGTCTTTGGGTGATCAGCTCTTTAGGACATTTGTGTTGATTGTTTCTTAAGATATGTTCCTTATTTCTCACAAAAATACAAGTTCTGAGTTAGTTTTCAATAATAAAAAAGTTATAAATCTAAAGGATGGTAGCTACTGTTTTTAATTCTGAGCTATATGGCTATTCATTTCGGTAGTCGCTTAGACACCTGATCTATAAATCCCTATCCGACGGATTGGGGTTTGTAAAAAAGTTCTTCTCTATTAATGTCTTTTAATTTCAGTTGTCGGATTTCTCCACGAACCAACAACGGTTAGACAGATCACTGAAAACCAGGTAGCACTGGAGAGCTATTTTTCCTAATTTGTGACCCTTCCGTGGTCTGCATCCATGACCACGAGAGGGATCGAACCCTGGACCTCCAAGTTAAAGGATCAAGCTCGTTCACTATTCAGCCACTTGGGCTGGAGAATTCAATGACCCGTAAATTCTAACTCTGTAACCTCGTGAAATAGGTCAACCCTGGCTTCGAGGAGCATCCACTTCACCTTCGGTGTTGCTTATCCTGCTGAAATATGTGTCATGTCTTGATGACTTGCTGCGTCAAAACATTAACAGCGATGTTAAGAAGTGGACACGAAATTGCTCGTCCTGTCAAAGAGTCAAAATCAACCGTCACACCAATGCACCACTTGGTCGCTTTCCTAACCCCGACTCTAGATTTGACCATATACATGTAGACATAGTTGGTCCACTGCCTCCTTCCAATGGTTTCAACTACATTCTAACTTGCATCGATAGATTCACCCGTTGGCCAGTAGCAGTTCCAATAGCCGACGTCTCCGCTGAAACGGTAGCTAAAGCTCTGGTCGAAAACTGGATAGCTAACTTTGGTGTCCCATCCATTATCACTACAGAAAGAGGTGCTCAGTTTGAAAGCCGACTTTTTCACCAGGTAACTGAATTACTGGGCATTAAACGAATACGAACGACCGCGTACCATCCTAGTTCCAACAGTATGGTTGAACGACTTCATCGACAACTCAAAGCTGCGCTCACTGCTTCTTTGACTCAAAACGACTGGTCAACCAAACTTCCACTGGTACTACTTGGTATACGAGCTGCTCTAAAGAAAGATATTGGCTGCTGCGTTTCCTAGCTAGTCTATGGAAAAACATTACGATTACCAGGAGAATTTCTCACCCCGAGTAACCAAGTTCCACATGATATGACTGGTTATGTGCACCAGCTAAAACAACACATGAACGAGCTCAAGATATCACTTCCACGCCAGCAGGAACGAACGTCATACATCCCACCACAACTGACAGATTGCACTAACGTCTTCGTCAGGAGAGAGGGTGTACAACAACCACTTGAACCCGCTTACGATGGCCCATTCAAAGTTCTAAATAGAAATGATAAAGTTATCACGATAGAACGACTGAATAAAGCAGAAGCCATCAGTGTCGACAGAGTCAAACTAGCGTTCATCGACGATTTCGAAGTCAACGATAAAGACCAGCTGAACGACGTGCCAAAACCTACATCCACACAAGCTTCAACGTCGCCAGAGAAACCTGTGAAAACAACACGATCCGGTAGTAGAGTCCATTGGCATAAACGCTATGTGCAAATCATCAATATATAACTTACTACGAATTTTCATTTTTATTATCTTTACTCGTAATTGTCATTTGACTACTCATTTAACTGATTAATATTTTCATGCGTAAATCACGGCACTACTATTTTAACATCGATATTTCCTGTATAATTACATTTAATCATATAGCGCTTAATATTCACGTATCGTTTCCGTATACAGACTACAGATCCCCGGCCGATTTTATCATTCCTTATATCTTCTACCATGATTATCAATCCTATTTTTCCTTTATTATCGACCTTATTGACCGCATTAGAGGGCTCATTTTTCAGCTTAATAAATCGCCTTCTATGTACTATCGCTGCTACGTATTACGCTGACGCATGTTATTGTCGAACACTTAAATGTATTTTTTTTATATTTCAGTGTTCTGGTGGGGGAATTATGTAGTACCCCTATACCAACTATAAACATACGCTTTTTAATCTAATTTGCATACTTATATTATATGTTTACAGAGACCAGATTTTATGTCTTTCTTCTTTCTTTACTTCGGCTATCTCCTACGAGAGGATGAGCCGGCTTCATGAACATCTCGAATCATCGCTGCCCAGGCGCGGCGATCTGATGCAAGGTTTTGCGACAGGGTTGTCCAATTCTTGTTCTACAGACGGAGTCCGTAGACGGTTTGTAGCCCCAGGCACTCCATATCAGCCTTGACTGTACCTCGTTTGTAAGAGAGTCCATGAAGTTTCATGGGAATTTGGTACGAGTGATGTCCCCAGAATCGCTCGGCCTTTTGTTTGAGAGTGCAGCTCTAGCCTTTACACAACCAAGTGTGACCTACAAGGCAGTAGGAGTGGAGTAGGGAGTCCACTATCCATTGGCAGTCGGTGACCAGAGTTCGGTTCATACGCCTTTTTGAATGGGGCCAGACATCCAACAAGCCCTTTGTCCATACGTCTGCCAGTGAGCTTCATACGCCAGTCGTTGGAGGTTTGGAATCAGGGTTTAGCCATCTGCCCTAGACTGTCATCCAATGGACAGTCAACCCGGTGAAGAGCGCCGGGCATCCGCTTTCGCCCTCTCACTTTGGTGAAAAATACCTCCGCCACGTGAAGGCAGTGAGTAGGACTTCCTCAGGAGAGGCTATGTAAGACGCCCGGTCATATGGGAGCATTTCAAGAGGTGTGCGGAGGAGTGGCCAACCCGCAGCGCAAGGCGCTCACCCTCGACCATCCTGAGGCTTTGGAGGCCACATTTGTCAATTTACCGTTGAACATTACCTTGACACAATTTTGAAATTTGACTACTGCTATAATACACAACTACACTCTTCAAAAGTACCTTCTGGTTTTACATTGTGGGCGTCAAGTAGCCACAACGTCTACGCACATTGATAAACGTGAAGAAGTACTGGGAAATACGTGTACGCTAATTTAGTCAAATAGAGCACGCAACACTTTAAGTCTGGTTGCTTTGATTAAAAACACAACAACACCAATGTTTGAACAAAGCTATATTTTCATCGGAAACGTGATAGTTTCCATGCTTAGACCAATATGGTTAGCATAAAACATTGCAAATGTATACTATCATTTCAAGTACTATATAGCTTCTTCTCCTTGTATTTATCCTGTAAATATACTTCCAATAATGTATTATTCATAATCGCATTTCATACCATTTTGCAGATGCGCAGAATTTTCTCCTCTTCCTGAAATAGCGTTCAATTATCAGGCGCGGCATAGCACTCACCCAGATATACGCTGTAGGATGGTAATTTATAACATTACTGATCGTGCCTGTAAAAATGACATGCATTTCTTGTAAACTTACTCGTTTATACGAAATATAAATTATTATTATTATTACTTTACTCTTCTTGCGTTATCACTTCGTATCAGTACGCTCTTACATGATCACATCAACACTTAGACTTGTATATTGATTGACCACGCCACTAAACTTCATCGATGATTTTGGTTGTCATAAAATACTGCAACTTAATTATTAGATAGGCTTTTGATGTGCACATCGCCTGTTTACCGTCTACTAGAGGGAGCAATCACTCAAAAGCACGTCCATAATAGTAAGCCATTATGCCCAAATTCAGTCACGTGCAAATATGACATCTTACACGAATATTACATCTTGTACACTGACTGGCATCACTTTGCAACTCGAAAAAACAGTAAGTATTAATAATGTATGAGTGGAGTGCAAAATTTCCAAAGAAAAATATTTATTTCAATAAATACATTCATAATATCACAAATATTTCATCATTCACACACGT